TAGCTGAGGTTCCTTGGGCGAGCTTCTTGTCACATGCTGCTGAAGTTACAATGACCTAATAACAGGACATTGGCTCCTACGGACAGGAGCCAAAGCAGGGCAGTGGAGAGGCGAGTGGGAAGAGCAGAATGTAAAGTGATGTAAATGTAGTTCTCCCGGTCCCACCAGCCTGTGACTCATCTGCTCGCAGAGAACTGGCTCGGCTGTACCACAGAGAGAATCATTTTTATTTCTGCCACTTGGGATTTTTGCAGTCCTCGAGACCTTTGGCATGAAAAGAGTGAGGAGAAGGCATTGGCAGAACTCAAACCCCTGGTTTCTGATTCTCTGGTCCCCACTCTTTCCATGATGGCTTAGCGACTGGTGAGAACTCTTGAGAACAGCTTCTTCACCACCTTTATCAAACCTTATCAGTAAATAACATGCTGCCGGGAGATTATATAACAACTTCTATTTGTAGAACACTTTACAGTTTGCAAAGCACTTTCGTATATTATTTCAGCACTCTGGCAACTGCCCTGTAACTCTGGCTTCCTAGAGAAGTTTCCTGGCATCCTGCACCAGTGGTATTTCATGACAGGATATTGATTTAGTGTGTGGATGGTGCCTCATCCCGCACAGCAGAGACAGAAGGTGGGGTTTTGGGGTATTTACACAGCTGTTTGACACTTCCAAAGCTACCCAAAATTATATTTTTGAAAACTGATGCTGTTCCCAGAGGGCGGGAAGCATGCTTTCATTTCGCTTTATTATAAATCTATTCATACTGGGGCAGTTAAATATGTATTGGAGATGCCAAGCAACAAGGACCCTGGATGCTGTATTCAGTCTGTTTCCAAACCTTTAGGAGGAATTTAAACTTCAGTTCCCTGCAAATGCTGCAGAGTCCTTGAGGCTGTCATTTGCAAACCACTTCATGCAGTAACTGTGTGTGGGAAGCCTGCACACACCATCCGTGTGGATTACGGATGGTTTTGCAGACTCAGCGGAATGTTTGGATCCATCGACAGCTTGATCAGAATCAGAGTCATGTATCAGCCTGCAACAGGAAAATAGTTCCTACTAGATGGAAACTTCCCACAGGGAGGCCAGAGTTGAAAGCAGTCACTGGTTTCTGCTGCTTTAACAGCAAGTCATAGAATCACAGATTTTAAAACTGGAAAGGATCTGAGAGACCACATCTTCTCTCCCCTTTATTTTATGATGAGGAAACTAAGGCATAGAGAAGTGAAATGATGACTACAAGATCACATACACAGTCTAAGTACAATGCTCTTTCCACCGTGCCATAGTATTTATTCCAGAAAACACCTAAGCCACATATTGTTTTGCAGATCAAAGAAACTGGCATGATTTAGGGTCACGCTCGTGGTCTGCCCAGCTTCCAGTGCAAACACGAGACCCTGATTTGTTATCACCAGCAGCTTTTGAATGAATTGCCTTGTGATGCCTTATGTCAAAAGTAGTGTCACAGTTAGAACCAAGATATCTGTAAACGTGGTGTCATGGCACAGCCTCTCCGTGGCATGAAACCAGAGCAATACTGTACCATTCACCTCATTATCAGATTAGCTGCGTCAAAAAAAATGTATTAAATACTTTTATCCACCCTGCACCCGACGGTTCATCAGATGGGAATGGATGACATCAAGTCCCTCAGCAGCTGCTTTGCAGTGAACAGCAAAACTCAGGGTAAGAATGGCCCAACACACAACCTGAGGCAAAGCGCTTTACTGGTATGGGCAAGGCAGGTTTTCACTGCTCACAGTGGTTTGTTTGTTTGTTTTTTAATCCATCATGGAAGACTTCTCAATCCTAAAAAGGGATGGTGGGAAAATCTGGCATTAAGCAGGACATTTCCTTTGCTCATGAACGGCTATAACCCTCCTGCCTTTCCATTTTCTACTCCTTCTGCCTGGAATGTTCTCCCACTCTCCCCTCCCTCAGTCTTCTCTCAAGATTCAGCTTAAGTGTCACCTTCTCTGGGAACATTTCCTTGACTGTTTTTTTTTTAAATTTTTTGGCCGTGCCCGTATGGCATGTGGAATCTTAGTTCCCTGACCAGGGATCGAACCCGCGTGCCCTACATTGGGAGTGAGGAGTCTTAACCACTGGACCGCCAGGGAAGTCCCAACACTGCCCCTTCTTTACCCCACTCCAAGCTGAGTTCAAGCATCCTTTTTCTGTACCCCGCCCCCACCCCACGTGAATCCAACGCTTCCTCTCTCACCCAGCTTGTCACACAATACTGTAGCTTTAGGTTTATTTGTCTGTTAAAAGGCACACACCACGTGCGCCATGGCCGCTGAGCCTGCATGTCCGGAGCCTGTGCTCCGCAATGGGAGAGGCCACAACAGTGGGAGGCCCTCGTACCGCAAAAAAAAAAAAAAAAAAAAAGGCACACTCCATGGGGGGAAAGAACATTTTTCATATCAGCATTTTTGTTTTTAATTTTATTGAAGTATGGCTGATTTACAATGTTGTGTTAATTTCTACTGTACAGCAAAGTCAGCATTCTTTTTGACTGGAATAATGCCAGGAACAGTGTAGGTTTTTGATAAACGTCAGTAGAATGAATTCTTCTGCTTGCCATTCAACCTCCCCCTTTATCTGTCCTCTCTTACTTTGCCCAAATCCTTAATGTGATCAATTTCCTCCTCTTCAAGCTGCCTCCTAATCTACCTATAAATGCCCCCAAGCCAAATACTATCAGGGACACTCCTATAGTTGAACTCTGGGTCTATTGCTCATTGCAACAGAGGATGCATACCATGGGGAAGGGTGGGACATCTCTGGAAGAAAGTATTAGAAAGAAATAGGAGGGAATTCCCTGGCATTCCAGTGGTTAGGACTCCGTGGTCTCACTGCCAAGGGCCCGAATTCCCTGGTCGGGGAACTAGGATCCCACATGCTGTGCGTTGCGGCCAGAAAAACAAAACAAAACAAAACAACCCAAAAAACAAAATAGGATTGGCTTGTGTTGGATGGTTTGTATAACGGATCAGAGAAGTGGGGTTTTGCTCTGTATTGGAGGCTGTCAGGAAACAGGGGTGATTCTGTGATTGGCTATCAGTAAGAATGAAGCAAAGCTAAGGCTGTGATTAACAAAGAATCTGCAGTCATTCATATTAGCCAAAATAACAGGGGGATGTTTGGTCATTTCTGTGGTTAGAATAATGTTCATACTTTTGCCTGTGTTCAAACATCAGTGATTATGTTTTTGTGTTGATCTATCGTGGTCACAGAATGGCCTTGTCTGTGCTGATGATTTGCAAAATTATTTCTACAGAACACTAAGGCCTAGCTAATAATACCAGGCCAGCACCCAGATGCCAGGAGCTGCTTTTCTCTTTCTCATAACCCACACCCATTCCTAACTTTCATCAATCTGTTTCTCCTCTTAGGATGCTATTCTCCATTCCCCAGCAAACTCCACAAAACCCCATCTTCCCCGTGAGGCTTTCCTAAATACTACTTTCTCCATTAGAGTATCTTTTCTGAATGCATCTAAAAGTCTTGGTTGGCACACCACAGTTTAGTACTCAATTGTGTTCTAGCCTGAATTGTTTGACTTGTTTCACACATATTTTTTTTAATAAGTTTATTTATTTGTTTTTATTTTTGGCTGTGTTGGGTCGTCCTTGCTGTGTGTGGGCTTTCTCTAGCTGCGGTGAGCGGGGGCTACTCTTTGTTGCAGTGCGCGGGCTTCTCATTGCGGTGGCTTCTCTTGTTGTGGAGCACGGACTCTAGGCGCACAGGCTTCAGTAGTTGTGGCACGTGGGCTCAGTAGTTGTGGCTTGCGGCCTTTGAGCGCAGGCTCATTAGTTGTGGCGCACGGGCTTAGTTGCTCCGCAGCATGTGGGATCCTCCCGGGCCAGGGCTCGAACCCGTGTCCCTTGCATTGGCAGACAGATTCTTAACCACTGCACCACCAGGGAAGCCCTAGCATGTATTTTTCTTCTTAGTAGATTGTAAACCTTATTTAGGGGCAGGGCTGTTTCTCATACTTCAGGATCCTCCAGAAATGAGCGCCCGCTGAGGTGAAACGAATGGCTGGTCTGAGTAAGGGGGAGAGGGCAGCTTGCTTCTGTAACACAGCTCTGAAAACACAGCTACAGGCCTGCAGGGGAGAAACCATTAGCTTGCCCTTTCCCCTGCTGGCTGCCATTTCTAACACCCTGAGCTGATCTTCCCATCAAGAAAGCTTTTTCCAATTTTTCTTTAGGAGCAATCATTTCTTTCCAAGAGTTATTATTTTTTTTGGCACTCTCTCCTGTCCCTACCTGTCTGAAAGCTCCTTGAATGCAGGATCTACCATTAATGCATTTTTGTCTCCTGTCACTCTCCCAAAGCACCTGGCACCTGACTTAGACGGTGGAAGGAAAGGACCAGCAGTTCCCGACCAACCCCATCTCCTGCCTGGCTCGACGCAGAAAGCGGGGTGCATCAGAGCTGTCTCCTGTCGGGCCGGGTGGGACGCCTATGAGGCTCACTGCAATGGTCTTTGGCACAAGACCTCAGCCTGGGCAGTTAGCCGCACGCTCTCCGGCCCATCATCACTGCCCCGGGTTGCTCCTTAGGAGGACACTAAGCAGGTTTGGGGAAACTTTAATTAAAAGCTGCGAGTTTCAACCACTCTCCACAGAGACGCTGGGATTCGTCAAAGCTGGAGAAGTATAAGCAATTGACATCGACCGCAAAGCCAGCAGGCAGAATCAGCTCGGTTTCCACCGCCGGGATGCGGTTTGCTTTCTACAAAGCCTACTCACGGATCAGCCAATCACACTACCCGAGAGGGCGTGGTCGCCAAGTAGAAGGTGGAGAAGGCGGAGCCGAAGCCTTGATTAGCATCCGGTCTGGGGCGGGGGGCGGGGCCCAGAGGCCTGGCAGCGCCGCGTCTGAAGAGGCTTCAAGTTGCGAGGCCGAACACCAACGGCCATGTTTATTTCTGGCAGGTCAGCTGACTTGGACTAGCTCAGGGCCAACACGTAGGCGGTATCCCTTTTCTCTGGGGAGCGGATGAGGCCCTCCCCTCACACACTTCCCATCTCTCCGCGCGCGCCCCCGCCTTGCCGGTGAGCCTGTTTGGCGGGAAGTTGGCTTAGTTGGCCTACCTGTGGCTCCGCGGGTTCTGTGGTCCCCGCCTTGTTTTTCCCCAGAAGCTTCTCAATCTTTCGTCGGTCATCTCGGCATAAGGCATAGTACCCCTTCGCACGGAGGACGCCATGGCTCCCAGGAAACGCCCAGAAACCCAGAAGACCCCCGAGGTGGTTGTGCGTCCCAAGAGCAAGAGGAACAGAAGCCCCTGGGAGCTGGAGCCCGAGGCCAAGAAGCTCTGTTTGAAGGGCCCCGGTACTGCCTGCGCCTGCTGCTTTAATTAATTCCGCCATTTGGGGTTCTCACACAGGAGGCTGGAGTGGGGGGTGGGTGCGCCTGGGTCCCTGAGGCCGTCCCAAATTATGAACGCCTCAGGCTGTGCATTTTGTCTGCAGGTCCTATGACACCTTAGAGCTTGGGCTTAACCTCCCTCAGGTGACAGGAAGAGGCAGATGAGCTCCATTACAACAGACACAACGGACTTTTCAAATTCCTTGTTTGTACCAGAATTTTTACACACTGAGGACTGCTTAAGATAATCCTACTTTGCCTAGTGGTGTGTGTACTTAATTTCTCTAGTCACGATTGCTAGCTGTATGTCCTTGGTTTAACTGCGGAAACCCTCCCATTTCCCTCCTTCCTTCCTTCGAAAACTCATTCTTAGGGGTTTATTGGGGCTTGAACCTGGGGCTATAAGGAATGTAGGGAACTCCAAAGACAGGGGGTTGTTGATGAAGTGTTTTTTTTGTTCATGAGAAGAAAGAATCGGTTGTCACGAGGCGGGATTCATAGAGATCAGGTCCTCAAATACATGTTGGTAATCCAGAGTTGCTTTATTCCTATTCTAGGTGGATCTGCCTTCCCCAAAGTAGCCTAGCGAATTTAGCGCCACACCGGACCCTAAGGATCTGCTGGTTTTAAGGAGAAGAGATTGGACTTAGGGCCAACCACTGGTCACCTCTACATTATTTTAATATAGGATTTAAAGAAACTGCTTTTCCCGAAAAGTCACTTCTATGCTGTCCTAAAATCTTTTTATTGTGCTTTATATATAACTTTTAAATTGTCACCCAACCCTATCACTAGTTTTCCAGCCCAAACTGGGAAGAGTTCTGCAGTTCTCATGTGTTTCTTTGGCTCAGTTCTCAGGAACCCCGCAAGATCATAGTTTCACTTCAGAAGTACTATTTTGGGGAATGTTTTTTGGAAGGGGCTGAATTCCTACTCACTATTTATTTGTTGTGCTGGGTGAGACTGAGCAGAACATGGAAAAACCTTAGGAGATGATAAGAGAGATTGTCTATGCCGAATGAAGGAACAAGGCTTTCTTTTGGGGATGTTTCAGCAGAAAAATCTTTGAGTGAGATTGGAGCGGAAAATATTTGTCTGTTCTGCTTGGCAGGTCCTAGCAGAAGATTTGACTCAGGCTGCCTTTGGGCGGGGTTGGCTAGCCTGCGGGTCCCGCCACCATGCAGCATCGTCAGGGCCCTCCACCAGCATAAGCTGGGCACAGCTGCCTGGCCATCACTACAGCAGGTGAGGCGTTTCCTGGCTGAAGAGCTCAAGGGTTTGCATGGTGCCTTTTTTTTTTTTACTGCTGGATGGTCCAAAATTAGATGCTGGGTTGGTTCAGTGGGTCGGCGGAGTGGTCAGATCACCCCCATCTTGTTGACTCCTGGGCACTCAGTCATGTAGAAGTGCCCACTGGGCACTCAGCCATGTAGAAGTCCTATGCTGTAGGGCGTCCCAGCAGGAATGCACCCTGCCTCCTTGCTTTCCATGATTAGATCATGTATATTGCAAATATTTTTATGCACAGAGTCAGGCAGTTATTTTTCCTTTAGTGGGAGGACCTGACCCCACTTATCTATGCGGGAGTCAGAGATTGGCAATTTACCCTTACGTTTTAATTCAACTTAATTTTTTTCTCTCTGTATCAGGGTCTCCAGCAGTCCTTTTTGAACTCTCTGGCTTCTTACCGGATATTCCAAAAGGCTGCCCCTTTTGACAGGAGGGCCACATCCCTGGCGTGGCACCCAACTCACCCCAGCACCCTGGCTGTGGGTTCCAAAGGGGGAGATATCTTGCTCTGGAACTTTGGCATAAAGGACAAACCCACCTTCATTAAAGGGGTGAGCAGTTCCCTGTGCCAGACGATAGTGCTGAAGAAGTGTGTGTTGAAGGGATGAAAAGTCATCCGGTAACAAGGAGATAATTGGGATCAAAAATAACTGTGGGTATTTTCAAACGGGTCAATGGTGATGATACTCAACTCTTTATTGAACGCCTGCCCTTAAAATATTAGGAAGTATGAAATATTGATCACCCTCGTAAATCACCTAGAATCTAAGCCCTTTCTTACCTCCTTGACCTCATCTTGTACTACTGTCTTTCCTCATTCCCTATGCTTTAGCCATACTGGCTATTTCTATTCCTGAAGCCGAGTCTTTGCACTTGCTGTTCCCTTTGACTGGAGTGCTCTTTCCCATGGTTTTCTCATGGCTGGCTCCCTCTTACCATTCAGGTCTCGGCTCAATATATTTTTTCAAAAAGGCTATTACTGACCGCTCTGCCTAATCACTGATGACTCCCTATCTCATTATCCTGCTTCACTTTTCCCCCACAATGTTTATCAATATCTGAAATGTTTTACTTCTTTACCCACTGGAAGGTAAGCTCCATGATGGCAGGGACCTTGTTTTTCTGATTTACCACTGTAACCCCAGTACCTAAAACAATGTTTGGCCTAGATAGCTGCTTTGTATTTGTTGAATGAATGAGGGGCTTAGAGTATAACTGGATAGGTGGGATGTCTACCGACAAGATAACTAACAATACAGCAGTACAGATGCTAAATGCTACATACAGAACATGAGAGAAGGAAGAACCTCTTGTGAATTAGGGTCAATAGAGGTTTCATAGATGAGTGAGGAGTGAGGAAGAACAATATTTAGATAAATGGAGAGAAAAGGAGGAAAGGCAGAGTGTGTTTGGGGCAAGGTTTGGCATAGAGCTTTTTAGGGGTGCTCTTAATTGTGCTAGTGTTTGTCATCAGTCGCTGAGGGGTGAGGGTATTGGCCCCTCCACCAAAGACAAGACCGCTAGCTTGCCCAGCTGGGGACTGACATTGGAGGGCTATACTGTGAAAGGTGATGCTCTGGGTTTAGAGCAGGAGCCACAAATTCACATGCGTAAAGAAGCCAGACAGATACAAGAATGATGTAGGGTGGTGGTTAGTGGTAAATTGGAGATGGTTGACAGGTGGGAATCTAGGTCCTGAGGTATCAGATCTGATTTTTTCAAATGAAGACTGAAATGTTCTGACTTTAAAAAATTGTAATGAAACACATATAAAATTTACCCTCTTAACCATTTTTAAGTTTACAGCTCAGTGGCTTTAAGTACATTTACATTCTTGTGTAACCAGTCTCCAGAACTTTTTCATCTTGCAAAACTGAAACTCTGTAGCCATTAAACACTAATTCCCCATTCCTCCTTCCCTCCAGACCCTGGCAACCACATTCTGCGTTCTGTCTCTGTGATTTTGACTAAGTATCTCATACAAGTGGAATCAGACAGTATTTGTCCTTTTGTGATAGGCTTATTTCACTTAGCACAGTGTCCTCAAGTTTTATCCGTGTTGCAGCACGTGTCAGAATTTTCTTCCCTTTAAAGGCTGAATAATATTCCACTGTATGTATGTACCACATTTTGTTTATCCATTCATCTGTTGACGGACATTTGGGTTGCTTCCACCTTTTGGCTTTTGTGAATAATGCTGCTGTGAACGCGGTTGTACAGATATCTCTTCGAGCCCCAGCTTTCAGTTCTTTTGGTTATGTACCCATAGTGGAATTGCTGGATCACATTGTGACTCTATTTTTCATTTTTTGAGGAACCACCATACTGTTTTCCATAGAGGCTGTACCATTTTACATTCCCGCCAACAGTACTCAGGGGTTTCAATTTAAAATATCCTGGTTTTTAATGTTGGGAACTAAGTGAAATTGAACATGCTCTGTAGCTAAACAAAACACATTTGTGAACTGGATTCTGCATTAGCTCACTGTTTTTCTACCTCAGGTTTAGAGGCCAAAGGTAAACCCAGGATGAGTTCTTTTAAGTGGAGGGTTTGGAGAGCAGCTCATCAGAAAAGGCCAGGTTAGGCAGGCTTGAAGATTAGGATTCAAGGTATGAGATCAGTGTTCAAGAAAATAAGTGCCTGAAGCCCAAAGAAAGGCAGCCAGGGGATTACTTGGTGGTCTGTCTACCCAGCTGGTGAGACAGGTGACCCCCAGGAGGGGTAGCTTTAAGTTGAAGTCAGAACCCAGAGCTCAGGCAGGAGGAGATTGGTTTTTTTCCTAGGCATCCAGGACATGGGAATAGAGAACTTTAAGAAACAGCCTAAGAGTGTCCTAGGGGAAGAGTTTCCTGACAAAAAGGGGAATGATAACTGCTTTGAACTTGTGTCAGGCTGAAGCTGCTTTTGGTTTATATCACCCTTTATTATGATGTACATTTAAGTGAAGTTTCCTTACACACTGTTGTGGAGATTGGTCTGGGCATTTGAACTCTGTGACTAGTAGGGAACTAGGTTGTAGCAGGAGAAGGGTAGGTGGTCTGGAGAACTGTCTGTTTTTACTCCCAGGAACTGACGGCAGAAAGTTGATTTGAGACCAGTGACTGAGGGAGCAGCAGTGCTTCATTTTGTCATTTCTTTAGTCATCTGACCTTGGCTCTGATCTTAATCTTTCAGGCCCTTGGCAAGGGGACATGTATTACATTTTCAAAATGAAGATTATTTTATTCTCATTGTAAAAATGACCTGTGCTCATTGTAAGAAATTCAGGCAATACAGAAAAAAGTATAAAGAATAAAGTAACTATTACCTGAAATCCCCATTTGAGGCATCTTTATGTGCGTGTATATACTGTTATACACACCCGTTCTTCTACTTATATTTTTATGTAAATATTCTATCCTAGAATCTGTTGTATTTTACTTATTAGATCATATCCTAGTTTAGTCATCTTGTACCAGATGACGACCACTTAAAAATATCTTATTTCCTGGACTTCCCTGGCGGTCCAGTGGTTAAGACTCCATGCTTCCACTGCAGGAGGCACGGGTTCGATCCCTGGTTGGGGCACTAAGATTCCCACATGCTACTGGGCCAAAAATAAATAAATAAAATTAAAATAAAAATTTAATTAATTAATTAAAAATTAAATTTAATTAAAAATTAAAATAAATAAAATTAAAAAATATATATCTTATTTCCTTTTTTTGGTAATGCCTTTGGTTTTGGTATCAGGGTAATGTAGACCTCATGTAAAGAATTGGGAAGTATTCCCTCCACTTGAATTTTCTGGAATAATTTGTATAGAATTGGTACTATTCCTTTCTTAAATTTTTTAATAGCATTCACTAGTGAAGCCATCTGTGCCTGGAGTTTTCTTTGTTGGAGGGTTTCTAACTATGTATTCAATTTCTTAATAGATACAGGGCAATTTAGGTTATCTATTTCTTCTTGAAGGAGCTTGGTAGTTTCTTTCAAGTAATTTGTCCACTTTATCTAAATTTTTGAATTTAGTGGTGTAAAGTTGATCATAGTATTCCCTTATTATCCTTTTAATATCCATAGGATCTGTAGTAATGTCCTCCCTCATATTTCTTTTTTTTTTTTTTTTTGCGGTACGCGGAGCTCTCACTGCTGTGGCCTCTCCCGTTGCGGAGCACAGGCTCCGGACGCGTAGGCTCAGTGGCCATGGCTCACGGGCCCAGCCGCTCCGCGGCACGTGGGATCCTCCCGGACCAGGGCACGAACCTGCGTCCCCTGTATCGGCAGGCGGAACCCCAACCACTGCGCCACCAGGGAAGCCCCCTCATATTTCTTGGTATTGGTAATTTGTGTCTTCTTTTTTTTTTTCCCTAATCAGTCTTGTTAGAGGATTATCAATTTTGTTGATATTTTCAAAGAACCAGCTTTTAGTTTCATTGATTTTTTTTCTCTGTTGTTATTCTGTTTTCTTTTTTGTTGACTTTTGTTGTATTATTTTCTTTCCTATGCTTACTTTGGGTATAATTTGCTTTTCTTTGTCTGGTTTCTTAAGATAGAAACTTGAATTGTTTATTTGAGACCTTTCTTTTCTAATATAACCATTTAATGCTATACATTTCCCTCTATTTCTTAACTGCATCTCACAGATTTTGTTGTGTTTTTGTTTCCATTCAGTTCAAATTATTTTCCAAATTCTTTTTTTTTTTTTTTGCGGTACACAGGCCTCTCACTGTTGTGGCCTCTCCCGCTGCGGAGCACAGGCTCCGGACGCACAGGCCCAGCAGCCATGGCTCACGGGCCCAGCCGCTCTGAGGCATGTGGGATCCTCCCAGACCAGGGCATGAACCTGTGTCCCCTGCATCAGCAGGCGGACTCTCAACTACTGCGCCACCAGGGAACCCCCCAAATTCTTTATGATTTCTTCTTTGACCTATGGGTTATTCTGAAGTATTCTGTTTAATTTCCAAATATTTGGGCATTGTTGAGATACCTCCCTGTTATTGATTTCTAGTTCAATTCTGTTATGAACAAAAGACATTTTACGTGATTTCCAGTCATTTTATATTTTTTATTTGTATTTTGGCTGAGCATACGGACTATCTTAGTGAGTTTTCCATATGCATTTGAAAAAAAATGTGTATTCTGCTGTTTTGGGGTGAATTTTTTTTTTTTTTTTCCTGTGGCTGCACTGCGCAGCATGTGGGATCATAGTTCCCCGACCACGGATAGAACCCATGCTGCCTGCAGTGGAAGGATGGAGTCTTAATCACTGGACTGCCAGGGAAGTCCCTGTTTTGGGGTGAATTATTCTCTAAATGTCAGTTAGGTTAAGTTGGTTGATAGTGTTGTTTAAATATTTTGTATCTTTTTTTTTCTTAATGTTCTGTATCCTTATTGATTTTATGTCTCATCAATTATTGAGAGAGGAATATTGGAATCTTCAACTATAAAATTGTGGTTCTGTCTATTTTCCTTTAGTGTTTGCTTCAAGCATTTGGAAACTCTGTTATTAGGTGCTTACACGTTTAAAATTTTGTCATTTTGATGAATTGACAACTTTGTCATTGTGTG